CGCTCTGCTACAGTTTTCGAACGGGTGAATACTGGTATACGTGGTTTAACTGATCTAGAAGAGCTGGGTCGAGCTGTCGAATGATCCGGAGAGTCTCTTGAACCTTCAAATAATAATAATTAATCAGCCCCAAATCTTACTTAATTGTTCAAAGCTAAAATTCTCAAGTATATAAGCATTTTTCGGGTTTGACTATCATTTTGGGGTATTTCGAGTCTGAATTTGGCCAAACGGATTGCGGAATCGGAATCAGGACGTCGAAAAACATATAGTATGAATTTTTGAAAATTCAGATTCTTGGTCAAAGTCAAAGTCAACCACTTTGACCATCAATTTGGAGGCCTTTGGATTCGAATTTGGCAAAACGGACTGCGGAAATGGATTCGGCACGACGAAAACTATCAGGATAGGTATACTCGGAAAATATTTACGGTCGTTTAAGGGTCGGTCAATGCCATTTTAAGTTTTGGTCAAAAAAAGTCAACGGTCAACGGTCAACGGTCGGGTCGGGTCAGCGGTTGGGTCGGGTCGGGTCGGGTCAGACCGGTTCAGACCGGTCAAAACCGGTCAAACCAGTCAAAACCGGTTGAAAACCGGTCAGACCGGTTTTCTAGCCCTCCACTCTCCCTGCGACGGCGCGTGGGACGTCCTCCGGGGCCCTAAAAATTACGGAAAAATTTCTAAAAATTATTTTGAGCGATTTCGAGATACTTACAACAATCGGTTCAAATTTTGAACGGTGGAGAGCTCGATTTTAACTCGGTCGAATCTATGACTGCTCCACCTCCTCATGCGCCGCCGTCGACGGCGAACAAGGTTGACACCGGCGGACTCGAAACGACACAAGGAACACGATGGTGCAGGAGGTGTCGTAAACGGAGCAACGATCGACGGTGAATTTGAGATTTTCCCGGCGATAGAGCTAAAAAAAACGTCGATGCTTTGACTTGAAATTCCCGACGTTTGGCAGCGTTTCACTTCAATTAATTTAAGGGGATTGTTCCTGACTCAATAACGAACACGATGATAATTTCAAAACGATGATCGGAATTCGGACGGCGTCGGGATCTAAATCGGAAACCGACGTAGGGGAAGGGGATTTGGGGAGTGGTTTTCTGTTTTGAAACAGAAAACCACCCCACGTATATATCATCTAAAACTAAACTTACCTAATTTTATTGGGTAAATTCAGGGCTTAGTCCCTGAATTCCTTTAACTCTAAAAGAAGCTCTAAATTTTAAAATCTTTCAATTTAGTCCCCAATTTTCACCAATTTTCACAATTAACCTCCAATTTCAATTAAATATTATTTTGTAAATATTCGGGTTGTTACAAATATAATTGCCAACAGGTCCTTGTAAGAAAATCACATGGGGGTCGGTGCTGGATGAACGAAAGCCATTAAAAGCATTGACTTAATCGATTAAGAAAACTGGTTTTGTTTAATCCGAGTAACATTTTTAACAAATTGGTCTCAGTTTTGGGGAAAAGCAAGGAAAAATTTTGAATGCATTCCTCCTTGCAATAATTGATTGATGTTATAAGGGGACAATGATGGTTAAAGAGAGGGAAAGGAGAAAGAAAACAGCTGCCATATGCTGTCTTATTTATGGTAAACTCAAAGACTTTGTAGCTAGAGGATTCGATTCAGGAAATTCAATGACAAAAGGAGGCTGCAGTTGATGAAGTATATATATATATATATATATATATATATTCAATGCATTGGCAAAGGATGCATGGTTCTTATTTTCCTTTGTTACAAATAAGGAAACCCAAGCAGCTCCTTTTAATTTCCCATATTTTCTTTTTCTGTCAAATGAATCAATTTTTTTGTGCAACGGAGCTAACTAGGACATTAGTTTGTTCTTGTCGTGTTTGTATAGCATAAGCATGTCGTGTTCAGGGATGGACCGAGGGGGACGGCCAGACCATTTGAAAGCATTGTACAAAGTTAGACCATCAAAGTTGGGGGAAGCAAAAACTAAAGCCTACAAAAGCTAAAGAGAGGGGAACAGCCAACAGCATTTTGCTTACTAAAGTGAGGAAAAAGGACTAAAGAGATAAGTCCAAAATTCACCAAAGATCATAGCAGTATGTCAAATATCAGATTATTACAAAGCAAAAAAGAATTACCCAGATCACAAAAACTTGTCTGCAGCCCAACAAAGGTCTCTAAGAAGCTGTATGCAATTGTAGGTACTAATTATGTAACCTCAAGTTGATGGTGGGTTGTTTTCTCATAAATGAACTTGATTTGTTCCCACAGGTAGGGGACCCCTCAAGAGGGTTTCCATAGGGTTCCATACTGAAAATAAATTTCTCATCAAGTATAAAGCATAAGCATCATAAAGTGGAAAAAAAAGGTTAGCAAAGTGGTCACATGATTTAGGGTAAGGGCGGGCCTTTCTTCTGAAAAGAGAACCCCACAAAAACTGGCACTAAAACCAGTATGAAACCCACGTTCCTATTTAACAGTCTAACTGTCCACTAACTGCTTGAACCTTCCATTATCAATGGAATTTCAGTTTTCTCATCAGTTTCGCCTTCTTTCTGCCTCTTAAACCTTCAGAGAATCAAATAGTTGTTGTTCAAAGGCACAGGTTCCAGGAATCTTCTTGGGGTTTTTTAACATGAAGTGGAGAAAAAGCAAACCTTCTTCATCCTCATCCTCCTCATCTCGTTTTCCTTCGCTTTCTCGTGTGCTCCCCACCGCGTGGCTTTCATCATTCAAGCGGATGAGCATCGATTCCCAAGCAAAACATGCAAAGGAGAAGCAGAAAGAGATGAAGAATTCTATGTCAGTGAGCTCGTCAAAGTTTGCTTCTGGTGGTGATGCTGAGGCCTTTTGGAGGTTTTCATTTGGAGAAGATAGTGCTGATGGCAAGACTAGTAAGATGGTGTCGCGATCGGCTTGGTGTGATTCAGACGATGATCTCGATTTTGCACCCCCGAATTGTCGAACCTGTGGATCGAATGCTACAAGGAAAAAGGAAAAAGAGGAAGCTAAGACATTCAACAACATGGCTTGCAATGCAATGAAAGTGAAAGAGTTTCGTAGGAATATGCAGATTTTACCTGATGATATCAAGATATACAGACGAGAGAATTCGACAGTACTGAAGACACCGAGGAGAAGGAATACAATGGAGAAAGACTCGAATTTGGAGAAGACAAATGGAAGAGTAAGAACCATGGAAGAGAAAAGGTTGAATGGGCAATACAAATCAGGTGAAGCACAGCATAGATCAGCAAGATCAGTGGAAAATAACACCTTGGAAAAGGGCGAGTATCAGAGAAAACATCAATATCCTTGTACAATGAATCTAAGAGCCTCTAAGTTAACAACAATCAATGAAGACTACACCTTTAAAGCTCAGAAATTGGTGGAGACTGATGTATTTTCTCCAGAAGAGAAAATTGAAAAGCTGAAACAGACGAAATCTGTTTACATGAGCAGAGAATTACCAAGGAGGAGGATGAAGCATAACAACAAGGTAAGGGTTTTCTCTCCAAGAATAGCTTCCAAAATAAAAGCTCTTGAAGACACGAAGAAGGCCAAATTGAAGATGAAGGCAGAAAAACAGAACAGAATTAGCCAAAGAACAGACTTGGAGAGCTTTGCCATGGTGAAATGCTCGTTCGATCCGGAGAAAGATTTTCGAGACTCGATGATGGAGATGGTCAGGGAGAACAGGATCAGTCAACCAGAAGAACTAGAGGAACTTTTGGCTTGTTATCTGACACTGAATTCTGATGCATACCATAATCTCATCATCAAAGTATTTCAGCAGGTATGGTTTGACATGGGTCTGGCCAGTTCTGAAATAGACTTGCAGAATGAACAAAGTTCATTTTGATCAACAACTTTCTCAAGTGATGATGACCAAAATTGTAAATGTCTTCCTAGTTTCTAATGTTATACCTGCAAAAGATGTTTTTAATTTCCATCAATTCACAGTTTTAGTTTTAAATCCATAGTTTATGACCTTTACTTACATACATATAAAGTTATTGGACAAATTTTCCTTTACTTTCCTCATGTTATAATGCTACTTCATTTTGCACCATCATTATAAAGCAAAATTCACGGATACCCTTATAATCTAAGGAAAATAAACAGAAGGAAAATAATAGAAGAGATAATGATTCAGAGAAATATAATTATTGAATTTAAGAGATTATTCAAAACCAAGAGGAATTATATGGCTACTAATGGGGATGTAGTTAAAGAAATGTTTTGAGGAACAAGTCATATAACTAATGACGCTGGAATCTATTATCCATGTGAGAGAGATGCTCTTTCAAAGACAATAGGATAAGAGGAAGATGAAATATTTGAACAAGTCAATGATGAAGTACCCGTCGAAGATGATTTTTCAAGAGAATTCCGTAAGCTTTTTAATTTCTCAATTTCTTCAATATTAGACTTGGGAAAAGATATATTTTCTTAGCAAGCTGAAAGACGACTTACCAGAAATGTCTGTCAGTTGACTTGTCATGAAGTTTTTAACACTTCTTTCTTGCTACGGTAGAATTACGACAGGTCAGATTAATGTTCTACAAATCATCTACTATAACAGCAACACTCTAAACATCAGAGAGATGTGTTACAAGACTCATAATCATGATCAAACCAAATGAGATTGTTGTAATAATAACATTGCCAATGGCGGATTTATGTACGAGGGTTGGTTATCTCGACTGAACCAGTAGAATTTACTGTCATGTTTAATGAGTGAAAAAATTCATAATCAAGACCAAATCCTAAGTTGATACTATGTTATAATCTAAAGAAATAAATCGATGTAGAGGAAAAGAATACAAGAGGTAATATAAAAAGGAAGATGATACTGAATTTGGTAGAATACAGTAGTTTAAATAAAAAGATAAAATTCTATTTAGAAATAAAGATTCCTCAGATTTATTTTTCACTATCATAAAAGATTCCTAAACAAGCAAGCCTTCTGCACGATTGATACGGTTTGATTCTAACAGATACACTGAAACTGGCGTTTATTTCTGAAGAATATGTAAAACAATAAACAAAAATGCCATGTCAATCAGAATAGCTACATAGCAACTAAAGACTACTGAACAAGGGAGGTGAGCATATGAGCGAGATGAAGTCGAGCATAAATTATCTATTAATTCCTATATCAAACCAATCATACCTAAATATGTTACATCTGAATTATTGGAGGCATCGAAAGCAAGAAGAAGAAAAAATCAATAAATATCAAGTTCTCTCCGCAGGTGTAAGATGCCCCATCTGTTCTGGAAGGTTATTCACATTCTTCATATTCAACCAAAATCGGTTATGATCACCAAGTTTGCTCTCGTTCTTTCTGTTATCGGAGTCTTTTCTATCCAACTGGACTTCCTGAGTATCAGTGGAACCAGGATTTTCAGTCAAAAATTGTTCCCAGAATACATCATTAACACCAGCTGCCGCAGGTACAGTGGTACCCACAGCTTGTTCCTTTCTTGCAACCGGCTCGGAAGTAAGAACAGTGGTAGGCTCAGAGTTCATGTCAATCCTTGGGGATTTAGGCCAAGAATCAACGTTAAGCTGTATGCAAGATATTGCAGGACTCTGTGCACAACTTGTCAATGCATCCAATTCTAGGTTTGAATTAAGTTGAATGCTAGTTTGACCGAAACTGTGTACAACATTCTCCCAAAACACCATGGATGACTCTAATTGTTCATATGGCTCTGTGTTGGACAATGACGCGCTATCTGCATTTTCTCTAGAAGTTAGGGAACCGTCTGTCTGATTATCTTCAATCCCAAATTCTTCATATAAGTAAGCAATTCTAGGCAATCTTCTCTTTCTGTCATTGGCCTCAAATTGTGGTGTCAGCTCTATGGCAACACCTGGTTTTTGCAGGACTTGAGCCACGGAAGACAACATTTTTCGCTGGTGCCGTTCCATATTTAGCAAACGCTCCCTCAAAAGCCGCATTTGAATCTCAAATCCTTTCCGGTCCTGTTCATACCTCTTTAACTCTAAAAGAAGCGACTCCTTTTCATTCTCAAGTCCCTCAATCTCATCCCTAAATTTCTGCCTCTCTGATTCTGTTAACGGAGAAGCTCCTTGACCTAGGAGATTCTGCATGGAATGACTATGAACTGGTTTGCGTCTGTGTATGTTTTTCAAAAGAAGAGGCTGACCTCTTATAAAATCCTCATTTGCGAATTCCCACTGTTCTGGATCAATTTTCCTGAAACCCTGCAAAAATATGGAACTTGTTCAATTAAGGTAACAATAAGAAATTTGTTTTTTTTTTTTCAAAGTAACTAATCAGAAATAAGACAAAACACAAAAACAAGTGGCTCACATATGTATTAAGCTGTCTGATAAAGCTAGAAAAGTTGTTGTGCTTGAAGAATCTTGGAAGTAATTCTTTTGCAAACTCTGGCGGATTCCATACAATGAAACTCTTATTACTTGCACTCCATGACACAATAGAATCGCTAGAAGGATCATCCACCATCTCGTATGTCTTCGTAAGGAAAGGAGGGAGCGAACTCGAGCTTCCCTGAGCATCATCCATACCAAAAATTCCAGTATATGTAATCACAAACCCCTTAATGTCCGTTCCAATGGCCGAATATCAACCAACACCAACAATTTTCACATATACCGGTCTCTCACTCGTTACAAACCAACATCATCATTCCAAACATCACGCTCAATCAAAATATAAAAATTTGACAACCTCTCTGTTATATGCAACCAAAGATTAGTATCCCTTATCAAACAGAACCCCTAAGCTTCGAGATGACTCTCAACTTCACAAGTCTACAAATTTCAATGAAGAGAAGAACCTTAATAATGAAAAGCAACAGATCTATTCACCACTTAAGAAATTAAACCTTTCACTCTAAATTCTCAAAACCCAGATCAAGAACCCTTTAGTAATGGAGAGCAAGATGTATGCTGTTTCAATCTAGCCAACAAAAATTCCCTAAAACCCTATTCAAATCCCTAAATTCTTATCCAAAATACAATGAAACCAAAACCCTTCCTCCTCCAATCACAAAATACAATGAAACCAAAATCCTTTCTCCTCCAATCACAAACTACAATATCATTCAAGTTTTTCCAGAGAATTGAGAAGCCAAAACCCAACAAGTTTCTGAACCCGAAACCGCTATCATAAAGCCCCTGTATTCAAACCAAAGCCAAAATTAATATAAGAAATTATTATAATTCTGTTACTAGTTTGAAACTATCAACCATTTGAAAGTCATTAAGTTGAAGAATCATAATTACATTATTTTTTTTCCTTTCATTATCATACAAAAGATGAGATAAAGAAGAAAAAAAAGAAAAAGAAATAAACAACTTGAAGCAAAAGCAGCAAGGAAAAAATAATTAAAAAAAATGGTGAATGATTCACGAGAATTAATTGAGTTGCTATTACCAGAGCCCCAGTATATAAGGAAAAAAAAAGGCGAAGTTGCAGACAAGAAGACGATGACGAAGACGATAACGATGATAAAAACCACCCAAAATTCGAAATTTAGTAACGGGTTATTCCAGAAATTCGAGGGCTTTATTCTTCTACTTCGAGAATAATTGGGGATTGCGCAGAGTAGAAAAGCTGACTTTGACCACGATGCTTTTTTTTTTTTTTTTGGGTACAACTTTCACCATGATACCATTATTAGGGAGGCCGGACGGGCTAGTTTGGTGCAGACCTTATTTCTATATTCATTTAATATTTTTAAATTTATCATCCGTATATGAGTAAATTTTTTTAAATCTACATCTATTTATATGAGTATATTTTTAAATTCATCCTCGTACTCACTGTCCAATGGAGACGTATTCGACTAGATCCGTCTGACAACATATATTTTATACAATATTAAAATTTATAAATTAGTCTCAAAGATTATATCTAAATTCATAATGGTCCAAAATTTAATAGGTATTTAATAGACAGGCGGATGTGGGACGGGTGTATGCGGGACGGGTAAGATCTCAAACTCATCACTTGCCCACTACCCGCGACGGGCATCACTTTCTAAATCCATACCCGCCCACTACCAACTAAAGTTATACTCATTCCCGCTCTAATTAAAGTGGGTACAATATAAAATCTACGAAATTATACCGGTTCGTCATCCTTATATACCATACTATTTTGCATTTGTTTTTTAAATAATTTTTTACAGTATTTATTATTATTATTATTAGTATGTGTATTATTATTGTTGAAATTTAAAAATGGGCATTGACTTGAGGGTGGGGATGACTGCCGGGGGGCCTAAACTTGTCTATTTGTAAGTGTAGCATGTTACAATGTTCTAAAATTTGAGTTTCGTACTTTGAAAAATAATTTGTTAACTTAGAAATAATTATTTCTTTTAGGTAAAATTTAACAAAAATCTTCTAATTTTCTTCTTTGTTATCTCATGAATTCAATTTTAATTAGTTCTTTTTAAAATAATCATTGAATTTATGGTGTTTAATGGACAAATTTTTTTTATTCATGCCCATCCAGTTTAAATCTTCTTAAATTTTGATATTTTATAATTTCATCTTATTATAAAATATTTTAAGGGACTCATTTTAAAAAGTAGCAATATATCCACATATTTATTGGGATTGTCCTAGCGGGGAGGGGGCTGCGAATACCTTTATTTCATCATCGTACTCACCTAATATTTTTATATCTATCACCTACCCACTATCTACGATGAGTAAAATATTTAAACCAATGTCATCTACGTGAGTACATCCTCAAATTCACCCCACACACACTACCAAACTGGATACATATCACTCGTCTCGCGCTCATTTGTACCCGCATGACAACAACCTTATAGATTAAATAAACAACAAGACATAAAATAAACACGTCCAATAAAAAACATAATAAAAAAGACTAACATAGATTTTAAAATAAATCAAAGTCTTAATACACAAAATAAAATAATAAAAAGCATAATTAAAGTCTAGAAATATAAATGACAAACACATACTATATTTGTTCATTGACACAATATTTCAGGCAATATCTATCACATTAGTTACTTTAGTATTTACCACATCAGTTCTAAAAATATTTATATCATAACATTTTGTTAAATTATAAGTCATATCCAATAAAATCTTAAGATTTATATAATAATTTTTAAATTATACGTAAGTCCATAATGGTCCAAAATTTATATGGTGGGTAGTTAGTGGGAAGGCGGATATGGGGCAAGCGGATACAGGATGGGTAAGGTCTCAAACTCATCACCTACCCATTACTCACGACGGGTATGACTTTTTATATTCACACCCGCCTACTACCCACTAAACTTATACTTTTCCTCGTCCCAATTAACAGGAGTATAGTGTGAAATTCACGAAATTATACTCGTTTACCATCTCTACTTAGAGGTAGGTGATGATGATATACTGGATTAAAAAAAATATGACGATGATGTATTTTTTATTATTTGTATAAGTATAAATAAAATAAAATAATATTTGAAATGTATTGGAATTCTTTTAGCCAATATTTAATATATTAGATGTACTACTCGTATTTATTTATGTTTATATTTATTAAATATATCATATTTTAAATGTCGTTGATCCAAAATGCATGGTATGTAGACTGTTTTAATTATCAGCTTGAATCATATATCTAAACAACTTGTAACGGTTACAATAAGTGTATGGTTTGTATGAGTTTCATTCCTATTGTTTTAAATATGAATGTTCAATATAGTTTAACACTCACTGTTAAAAGATTTTTCTAAGGTAAGTATATGATAATATATATTTAAAGATAATTTTTTTATCATTCGACATTGAATTTTAATACCCTTAATATTCAAGATGTTCGAACTTGAAACATTAAAAAATAACAATAATTCTTTTACCACTGATATTGTTTGAGTTATACTTTTTTAACACTTAAATTATATTCATTAATGATTTTTTGTGCATTCTTTTTCTCGTTTTATTATCTAAAATCAAACTCAAAATGAATCTAAATAAATATAAAACATTTCACAAAATATAATTTCATAACATATAACGTTAAGAATAACTTATTAAAAGTAAAAAGAAACAATTAACATACAAGACTTTATTAAAAGCGTTGCCAAAGTTTCGTAAGTTATCGTATATTCAGAATCCATCAAATAATTTCAATAATTAAAGGAAGTGTTTTTCTCTAAAGATCTTGAGTTTTAATTACATTTGTAAGATTTATGCATTTTCAATGACTAAAAATATTTTAAAAGAAAAATACTACATTCATCACCTCTAGGGATGGGCATGGGTCGGGTTTCGGTCAACCCGACCCGACTTGACTCAAAAAATATATACCCTCCACCGATTCGATTTTTGAGATAAAATCCAAACCCGAACCGACCCAACCCGAAATAAAAAATATTAATATATAGAGAGTATAATTGTAATTATTTCTAAATATATAAGATAAAATTATATTTTTTCGGGTCGGGTTGGGTCGGGTTTTTCACCCTAAACTCGAATCCAACTGACCCAAACATCACCTTTAAAAAAACTCGATCCGACCCTAATTTAAAAAAAAACCTATCCGATCAGATCGGGTCGAGTCGGAACCCGTCGAGTTTGGGTTTCATGCCCGTCCCTAATCACCTCATGCTAATAAAAGAAGTTAACATATATTTAAAATTATTAAAAATAAGTAGGTCAATTGAATTTAATTCAATTAACTTTATTGTTAGCTCAATATATAAAAGAATGTGAGATTGAATAATGTTTATCCGTTATCTTTTTCATTAACTTAGGGTGTTTTCAAGCTGTAGTATATGTTCTAAAAACTCTGAAGCATTTGACAATAAGACTCAAATACATTGTAATCTCTTATATTCCAACCTAAAATCTTTAAGAATAACAATTATTCCTTTAATCATTGAGCTAGCTTAGTTCGTACTTCATTGTCTTTTGATTTATAAGTAAAAATATATTTGAATAATACAAATATCGTATCATATTATAAAAAAATAGTAATATAAATGGTTCTACATTTTCTAATTGATATACTTTATTTTATTAGGGGAGGAGGTCTAGACAAAGACATGGAGATATGTATGGATTTACCGTATTTAATGCTTGGGTGCGTGCCTGCTTGGGTGAGAAAATCTCTAGAATTAAAGAGATCTGATGTTTTTGGATAATATTGTATGGGATCTGCAAGATTTTCATACATAAATTATGCTTTTGATCATCTGTCATCTTAACCATCGGCGACAATTAGTGTGGGGGCTCCGGTTTTGTTGACAAAACAAGGTTGACTTTGGTGCATAGTTGTAAATCATTGGCGTTGACCTTTTAGGCTTTTTGTCCACGTCAACGACACCATTGTCATAAACCTTTTCTTGGGTTCATGGGGTAATATCATAATTACTATTGGTGAATCCAGAAATATATTTTAGGATAAATATATATATATTAACAATATAAAATTTTATGGTGAAAATCATCAATAAAATTGGTCAGTAATAGAAGAAAATTCAGATTTCAGGTAGATATCATTAATAAAACAAGTGACTAATTGAAGAAAATCAGAATTTCAGAGCGGACACATGTCCACTCTCAGCCATGAGTGCATCCGCCACTGATTATGACCCCATTGCTACACCAACTTTGAATTATGTGCTAGTTTTTCATCATCACCCATGTTCTGGGTTTGTAATTTATATGTTGGTCATCATTAAACCCTTAATGTAAACGAAACAACCGTCCTACTATTCCTCATTTACCATCCACGTACCAATTCTACAACAAAGATCAACATAACTTTTGGGTAGTCCTACCGAAAAGAATTTGATTGAACTATTACCCTCAGTGAATTCACATAGTAAAAGTTAGTTGATTCTTTTATAAACAACTTGGTTAATTCATCGTTCCCTAAAATAGATAGGATGAGTTTATTAAAACATTTTAATGAGTTTATAGTCCTTGTTCAGATGATCTATATTGAAATAAACTCGATGAAATCATCTACTATAGTGTAAACAATTAGTTACCTTTTATGAAACACATTAGGCTGGTTTTCTAGAGCATTTACCATCATCTTGAAGTGTATTGACTAAGTTGCCGATTTAATTGGATGAATAAAATTAATAGTGTTATGAGTTTA